AATCTACTTCCTAAAGATTACAGCCTTGGAAACTCTTTGGGGCAATTTTACTCTTCCCTGTAAGGTTGCTGTTAGTCAGAATCAACTTGACAGCAACAGATATCTCTATAATACAGTATTCAAATGTCTTACATAAAGCATCAAATGTAATTCTCACAGCAGTTCTCTGTGGCTGAACTATTTAGTCCCATTTTTTTAGAGAGACTTGCGACTTAACCTAGTCACACACTAGTGATATAGATGTAAGTCAGTCTTCTGACTCCAAATGTTATAATTTCCTTCCCCTACCTTAGTTTTGGATTTTTTTGTATTTTAATTCCATGGTTTTACAGCTCTTTGATAGCATGCTTTATATCTTTTCAGGATATGGCTTTAGTTGCCCCCGAGGCTCCTTCAGAACAAGCCAGGAGAGTTTTTCAAACCTATGATCCAGAAGGTAAAAGATTGTGTTATTTATTAACATTGAGTCTATATTTTATATTTTTATGTATTTAAAATACATTGATACTCACCAGAGTTTTATTCAGAAGGCTTACTGAATTATTGAATGAAGCTTAGGTTGTGTTTCTTGAAATTTTTAACTGAGAAATAACAAAAACAGGAACAAATAAAATAGCACACTTCTCTGCTACTCAAGTTCTGCCCTAGTATATGGTGTTTTCATGCTTCTTGGAGTACTAGAGTTACTGTTTCTTGAACCTTAACCTCTGGTATCAGTGTCAAGGGGGGAAAATACCACTTTATGAACATTATCTTTGAAAAGTAAATTACTTTCTTCTTTATTTGTTTACCCAAATGAATATTAAATAAATCTTTAGGAATTTTCTGTATAAATAATTGTGCTATGAAAAGATGTGGAAAATAAAGTCATCTTTATCATTCTCTCTCAATACTGTGCTTAGCTATTCTACCTAATTAACTAAATACAGTTCTGAAAAGTTCATATACATACCACTAAGCGGTTCACAGTATCATTGGTACATGGGTTATTTTGATCACCTTTGCATTTATGTACTTA